AAGGGAAAAGGGAAACGTAGTTCCGTTCGCGACGTCGCGGAACGATCGCAGGCCCCGTTGAACGGTTCCGCGGTTGCGCAAGCTGTTCGACTTTTCTTCGCTCGCGCTCGCGCGCCGCCATCGACGTCACTTTCTCCTCTCTCGCGGAAAATTATTGCGTTCCGCAATTTCCGCCGGGTGCCCACGTACATATCCGGCTGGAATGCAAGCAGGACAGATCAGGCACAGGTGGTGCGGCCGCGGCGCATAGGTGTGACCGGCCGCAGAAACGACGCCGGCCGGTTTCGCAATAATCGAAGGTGTTGCGCGTGCACACGGTGCCCGCTCGAACAACCGTATCGCTGTTTTATGCGTTTAACCCTTTAGCATGTTAGCATGTTAGAGAATCTTAGGGTTTCGTGTGTCGCTTCTCGTTTCGTAGCGATGATCAATGGGGATGACTGATTACGTCGCTTAGAAGCTCATAAATCCGGGAAGTAAGAATTGAGAAAATTCATGTTTCGGCTTCTGAAATTTTTATACAATATATTCAGAAGCTATAAAAGGAAGTGATGTCTGACCTAGAGAAAACGAAGTAACGGGTAAATTGTTTAATAACTAGGAAGAATATTTATTCTATTAAAATTTACAGAAATCAGGAAATATCAGAAAATGGACTTCACCGTATTGGCTTCTGAGCTGCTCGATTATCGATTATTTGGTAACGTAATTGTTACGCTGCACTGTGATCTAGTTATTACAGTATAAACCAGGTTCGTTTAGCACCGATTAACTTATTTATTGTTATTGTTTTCGGCACCGAAGACAAGGTGTCCTTGATCTCTGTGACAGCGAATGAGTTGAGAGGTTAATTTCTATGACAAATCTTAATATTCTAGTTACTGTGTTGTTGAGAAGGTTGTTGCAATTGTTATTGGAGTTGGGTAAAATATAGTTCTATTGTATTTATAATTGTTGATTTGGTTAGAATGTTCAATTATTAGTAATGTATAATTTAAATTGGTGTGACTACAGTGAATCCTGATTAACAGTTGCGAGTAGCAATACGTAATGAAATTACAAGTTGTATGTGGTTAACAGTTACCACATTAAAGATTCCGATGAGTCAGAATTGATTTCAAACCCATTCCATTCATCTGTGTAGTTTTACCCTCGCGTGGGCAAGCGGGTACCCGCATTTTTGTATGCTCTGTCATCGTTGTAAAAATTTAGAAAAAAATGTATTTTCTCAGCACACTCACATCGATTTATACCTTGAAAATAGAATATTTGCTTAAAATATCGTAATACTGAGATTTAAACTAAAGCAAACATTTTGATTGCTAATATAGGGGTTGAATTCGTACTGTAGATACATTTTAAGCCGGTCACTCGCTAAATATAGACTGTCGAGTCCGTAATGTGAACAACTGCTTCACCTTTTGATCGCTTTATGCTCTTTTATGGCGCTGCGATTTTTCCGTCTGACAGCAGATACATAGTCGGAACTGGTAATTCCTGCTACGGCAGTTCAGAACGAACACGGTTGACTTTTAATCCATCGCGTTAATTACCCCGGCGACACCTTCAAAAAATTCCTGCGGAATCGAAGTAATTTATTTGATGGAGCAGAAACTGGAAAGGTCGGATTTTCCGTAGGGAAATGTCTCTTTTAAGCTTCCGTCACCTCGCAGACTCCGGGGGAAGTTTGTACGTGATGTGGATCGGTTTGGTGCGTTGTGAATTGCTGATCGTGGATAACCCAAGAGTTTCTATGTCTTCTAGCAAACGGTACTGCAGTGAAATGTAGGTTCAATCAGCAAATTACAATCCTATCGCACGAGAATGTCAGGTCGCGTTGTACACGAATTTTTATCTAGAAAACCGCGCTAATTAAAGTAACAAGTTGCATACGGTCGTATTTCGACCGTCAGAATGTGTAACAGTTATCGGGATGTTTGAAGTGTTCGAAATATTCGATGCATACGATTTTCGTTTGTTCAGATAACTTCATCAACACGAAAAATTACAAAATGAATTATATCGCTAGAATAATAAAAGAGACATTCAGCACAAAACAAAAGAGATATTCTCTGATACTGATCACACTAGATAGAGTCAACACGTTAATTCTCAATTAAATGGTTGCTATTCAATCGAACTGTTCACACATCAAAATGATCAACGCCACTTCTTTCGTGCCTTCAATGTTTAGCTCCAAAATAATCGATTTTGTTTTTCTACATTTATTACTATGATTAATGATTCCTTTATAACCTTCCATTCCATCGAAGTCTTTTACATTCTCGTTTCATCGAGTCAATCACTGTCGAACGAATGACTCAATCCATGTCTCCGAGTCCCGAGCGTTGTCAGGGACCTTATCCCGCTTTCGAAGTCTCCTTTTTCGTGCCTCCATTGCTGTTACACCCGTTTATAATTGCACGCGATGCCGGTCCGCGACCTCGCAACCGCATTTGCGGCTGCGGGAACATTCGCAACTGTTAATCGCGGAGGATTCTCGGAGGATTGGGTAAACATCGTGGGCGATCGACGTGGGCATGTCTTTGGCCTGGTTCTGGCTTGGGAAATATTCTCCGGATGAACGTGCTAGCCGACTCCGAAACCTTGGCCATTTAATAATGGTACTAACCGATCGTATATGGCGGTTTCGTCCTCTGTTTTCGTAATCCTGCGCTCATCGTAGTTTGTTCAACGTCTCGCTGCCTGCGAGGCTTCGCGTCAGTAGGCTTTCATTACCAATACCAACTACGAGTGTCCGTGGCGTCTAAGCATTTCTGTGAAACCCTATCAGCAGTGATCTGTGTTCAAATTTAGAAGTAATTGGAACAAGTTGTAACCCGCGAACGATCGTCGACATTATGCCGAGAGCAAACTTTCATGTTCGGAATACCAAGTTGCAGACAAGTGATTGAACTATTCGAACAGCAAGAAATCAGTACAGTTCCCTTATTCCCTTATTCTCTATGATTTAAGCATTCAGTATCTAATTTAGCAGAGTTTGCAAAAGGTTCTGTATGCTTTACACAATCTTCGCCCGCAAAGGGTTAGAAGTTGTACTTGAGCTGAATCGTTTTACTTTTCGCGAAGTATTTATCATAAGGAGTACACGTGGAATTTAATTCTGAAACATTTCACAGTGGATTGAATCGATACTTATGGATCTTTGAAAAGTTTCATAGAGTCTAGACTGTATTAATCGAGTGAAAATTTATTAATTACTTCTTCTTGAAGATATTCCAGTTGCTTTATTATTGCACGAGATGTTCTCAAGATTTTCGTTCAAACGTTCCCATTATATTATAATTGCGAATCAAACTGACATACTTCATCAAAAATAATCTAACCAAATTGTCAGGCCTGTCTCTCTTTTCGTAACATTACAAATTTATGAAATATTTATAGTACCAGTTTCAAATCAAAACTTTCATGCCCAAACGTACTTCGCGACGGGCGAGCAGGATTGAAATGAAACGCTAATGTATTCTTAGTTAATGAGCAGCGGTTCCGTGAAGACCCATTTTAGGCAATTCCGGAATTGAAAAACCGTCGATGCAACGGCTCGAGCGAACGTGAAGTTTCTCTCGAATTTGAAATCGTAATCCGCCACGCAGCTCGGCTGGTCTATCCGCGAGCAACGCAGCGCGATCTTATCTATTGTTTCCGCGAAACAACGCGAGAGAACGCGTTTCTCTTGTCGCGACGCGATACACATTACGCAGCGTATTGTGCCCGTGACTTTTACCCGCGCAGCCGGTTGTCCCGCGTTCTCTGCCATGAAATCGAGTAAACGTGATATTGTTAAGGACGAGGAAAAGTGAAAGGTGGTGCCGCATCGAATTCGATTCTTCTTAATACAACTCGAGCAACTCAGGAATATACGCAAAATTTGGGACAAAATTGTTTCGAGCATATCAGAAATCGTTTCAATTTCGGTAGTATTCACTTGGTGCTACACTTAATGCTGTTTAAGGAATACTATTTAAAATATTTGATGCTAATTTCATATGGGCACATTGTTACGCAGAAAAATTAACCACTCGCGAATTTTGATGATATACCGTGTAGTATTATCTATAATTTCATTTAACTTATTGGAGATTACTAAGAGTTTCTGTCTTCTAGTGACTTTTGTCGAGAAATGCTGGTTACAATTTTAGTTGTGGGATGATTAAAATCTTCCCGATGATCCTTGTCGCCCTGTGAAAGGGGGACGGGCGTGAAATCCTGAGAAAACGATACGCTAATTGCGAAAACTGGGTAGACGAGCGGCCGAGATTCCCTAACGCAATTAGGGACGGGGATTGTTTTGCTAGTGGGCCTCGGTGAACGCTTCTCGCTGATCGGCCGAGCAGGTAATCTGCGTTTAACGCTTGAAAGTGCCTTGCCAAGGAGGTAGGAAGCGTTGCGTCGGTGAATTGAATGGCTTCGACGACTAGGGAGGCGCGCAAGTTGTTTGTTCGGCACGATGTAACCTTTTCATAGTGCATCGGTAGTTGTTCCACTGAATAGGAATCATAGGAACAAGACACTCTTTACAAGAGCAGTACAAGTTCAGTCTTATGGATTAATGATCGATTCTACTAATAGATAGATCCTATCAGAAATAAAAATTGTCATCGAAACATAGTAACCGCCTATTTAATCTATTCCAAGCGATCAAAGTCAGTTTTCCGGTCGGTAAATGTACAAAATATAATAAAACATACAATATAGAAAATAAACTATAAAAATATTACGATAATAATAGAACAATGCAATAATGAGAGAATATTATACAGTATAAGAAAAAACGGGGGAAAAGAAAAAAGAAACATAAAGAATAAAGATACATAACAAAGAAATATAGTAGTATAGTAACTAAAACGAAAGCAGCGAAACATTCAAATAACTCCGCCATCAAAGCCGGCATCCAAATTTCTTATAATCCTGAGAAGGGTCACTAGCTCGAGACCTCGAAGCACAAAGCTCCTCTTCAACTCTGTTCGAAACGCTTGCAGAAAGTTATCCACCGACGAAACCCGAGTCCCAGTCGCCCTATGACGACGCCGGTCCCGCGAAAGCGCCGCGCCGAACGGAGATCGAACGATCCCGGGTGTTCCGTGTGAAACTATCGCGTGCAACCATCGAGGTTGGACGTAGGATCGTCACGATGGTGGTGTCGCACCGCGAGGGCAGCATCTCGTCGAACATACGGGCGATAATCGAGCAGCTGAACCTGAACCCAGTCGAGAGGCGGCGTCTGATCGACCGCACGAAACAAGACGCGCCGCGATGCAAGAGCTTCCCCAGCGTACAGACCACCGCGAAGATCAGCATCGGCGTCTATGGGTGCAAGGAGAAGGTCGAGTACGAGATACCCGGCTCGATCCGGCGGATGTTCGAGGATCGGTCCAGGAGCAAGCCGGAAATCAGCCAGACGATGAAGATCGAGCGCGATGCTAACGTGATCGAGGTAACCGATCACTGGGAGCTAAGTCTCTTCCGAAAGATCGTCATCCTTCTATCGTTATTTCAGTTCGATCCGCCAATCCGTGAGCGTTTTATCCTAATTAACACGTTGAATGTCACACGATTTCATAGAGCAAAATACACAAAATAGATAGAATTTAACAGTTTGAGTACCAGAGGTTTTTGAAAAAACACAGTCGAAAAAAGCCGAACAGCGCAGTAGTGCTTTCTGAATGGAATGCGAAAAGATTCAAGCGGCGCGATAGCGCTCCTTTTATTCTGTGTCGAGAAAAGCCAAGCAGCGCGACAGCGCTTGTTTTAATCTATGTTAATACTATTATATATATTAATTTATAATAGGTAGCAACGAAATATAAAATGTATTATTTCGATTACTTATATGTAAAAAAAGTAACGATGTGACGTACATGCGTCTAAAAAGTTGAGCGCGTTTCGTCACATTGTGAGCGCGCCGTCAGCTGTCCGTATCGTTCAAATGCGCTGGCTTTTTTCGACCTGAAGAAATCTGAAGAGCGCGAAAGCGACGCGTGGGACTCAAACGGTTAATATTAACCTTTAGCAGTCGTCTGTCGAGTCAGACTCGACATTCGATGTTATTGCAACATCTACTTATTTTAACAATTTTTCCTATATTGACTTGTAACACAATTGTACCATTTAAAGGTACCATTTCAGTGAATCCCAAGTATTCTTGAATGAATAATCAGAGCGTCATATTAAGCTGTAGTTGAATAAAATAACGTCGACGTGAACCTCAGAGTGAAATATTGGTGATATAGAGATGTTTGCAGATAATCATCGTTTAATTGAATAGTTTAGAATAAATCAATTTGGTTGGGGGTCACCGCTGACCCCCACGGCATTCGACGTGTTAACTTCCTAGTACTTGGATGAAAGTATATTGTATAATGACTGCTGCGATAGTATTTTCAACGTTTCAACAAAGAATATCTTGTCAACGTTTATTTATTAATATAGTAAAATATATTACTATATATTTTATTAGCAAAAGATTTAACCCCTCGGCTACGCCAGAACTTTGCGTCAACGCGTATTTCAAAGAAAATGTATTGAAATCTTCAAAACATTGAATTGAACTAAATCGGACCAATATAAAACAATCATATGTATATAATACATAACTAACGGAAGATGTAATCGTTGAATTAGAGTTCACTTACGTCAGATCTAAGCGAACTTTGCCGCAATTATTGTGAATAACATTTTATGGCCGTCTGTGGTACCAACATGACATCGAAATTTTTAAAACGCCTTTAAACACCAACAGTAGCCAAGGGGTTAACCGTAGGTTTCAATCTAGAATTTCAAAGAATCGATTCATAAAAATTAACAATTCACTGGTAACTTATTATTGATAATTAAAAATTGAGTAGTAATTCTGTACAATCGATTAGAACGCAAAACTAGAATCAGCTGGACCGAATTTAGTCGTCGGTGTCGGCCATATTGGAGTCCTTGATATCAGGCAGTCAGTTAAATACTAATTCAATGCGATTTGACGCGTGTCACTGACTAATCCCGGTTCCCAATCGTGTAACACGGTTTACGGGAGAACACTCACGGATTCGGTGACGATGATCGTCGAGGATTGCGCAATAAATGATTACGTTTGAATCCGGCCGGAAGGACAAGGCCGTGGAGAGCAGCAGGGGACTCGGATCGATAAGACCACCGTGCAAAATGGAGGATCGGCCGCGGCCGAAGCCGGAGATCAGGCGTGCAGTCCATTCGGCGAAGAGAGAGCAGCAACAGCAGCCAATGCGCGTCGAAGCCGATACGATCGAGGTAATCGATCGGATCTCTTGAGCGTCCCGGGCTAATAGGAACGTGATAGAGTGGCCGATCGTTCGTGTCGATCCTAGACATTGCTCGGATCGAGGGGACCGCTATATACGGGGACACGTTACGATTTATCACGCGATTCTGCTTCGACACGATGCTTTTTAAGAATACGATTAGAAACCTGGAATTTCGATGGAACATTCTTTTTCGTATACGATATAAGAAAGTGTTACACTTTAAATGTTTTGTATTTTTATGTCTTGTATAGTCTTTCTTGTGTAACTTTGTACTTTCGAACATTGACATCTTAATTGATAATTGACAATGTAGAATATTTTGAGTTGTTCAAAGTAATCGAACCGATGATCGGTATGATTTAGACACGGCTGATAGCGTATCCGGATTAATTGACTGATTAAAATTAATTGGAACGGGACGCAAAATTCCAAATTCGAACGAGCAGAAATTACATTGGACTAACCAATTCTCACATATCAGCGCATCTTTAACCTGTTAACCGGATGATCACTTGGGTACGAGCAAAACAAAGGAAGACGATAACGATTCGATCAGTTTACTCCACGACGGATGGAGTTATAATTTCATACCCATTTCCCGAGACATTACGACACGAATGCTACGCAACTGAACGCAAAAAAATGTCGATGAACACATAAGAAAGCTAGAAATCGACTGACGATGGGGGCGAACGTAAACACAACCAGTACAGTGGTCATTCCCGGTTAACAGGCTAAGTATATACAATCGTAGAGCATGTGGCGTCGGCCAACCGTTGCTGCTCGCCGTAACGACCCGCGATACCGTGCGATAAATCGTAACGTGCACGGGCCCCTCACGATCCGATGTCTGTCCGTCCAATGATAGGATATACCGGAGGATGTCTCGATGGGGCCCGTTAGGCCTTCGTGCAGGATCGAGGATCGACCACGCTTGAAGCCGGAAGCGAGACAGAGGATCCCGCCGGTCATCAAGGAGGCGAGTCCGCGGACCGACGAGACGATCGAGGTAATCGATCGAGCGACGAATAGAATCGTCATCCCGGTTTCTTCCTGTATTCCTCTCGTAGCGATATTCGTAAACAGGCAGGACGTTTTGTCGTTTGAACTGTAAAGGCTCCTATTCCTTATAACGCTTAACCTTCTGCACCCCTACGTCGAGCGTGACTCGACATCAGTTTTATTCACAGGTGTGATTCTTTGTCAAGATATTTTTAAACTAGATTTTATTATTATATTATTTTCAATATTATTAGTAAGAAGAAACGTTTACACCGCTCTCTACAAACTGACTATTTTTTAGAATGCATTTCAAATACAATATCGTTATAATGCAGAGGTATCGAGGAAAAAATGCTAAAGACATTCGGAGTGCAAAGGATTAACACTAACCATACCGGCATTTTTGCTACTGTAACTAGTGAAATAACTGGTTACAAAATAGAGATAAACAGATTAGATGATACGTTTGTTTTAAATAAACAGAAACGAAAGGAAGAATGAAAATTGAAAAATTAATTAATCGGACAATACAGGAATTGATATGAAATTAAATGAACAAAAAAAAACACGGAATTTTAAGTCACGTTTGACAGTGTGGTTAGTGTTAACTCTTTGACTACGACAGACTTTGAGACAGACCAACTGTACTACACGATAGGAATTTAGTCGGGATATACACCGAGAACGGCGAAACTTTTCAAGCAATATTTTTAAATGTCTACAGTACCGTAGAGCAGTATTTTTGAGTGCCTACAGTATGACAAGCGCAAATTTTCGACAATTTTAGGCGTCAACAGTAGACGAAGGGTTAATATAGATATGAACCACTCAGGAGCCAATGTGGTTGAATCTAGGAAAGAAAAATTGAGAAAATAAACGATTTGTCTTCTGTAATTATTGCACAAGTTGTTCGGAAGCTATAAAAAGAAGGGCTTTCTGACCTAAAAATGAAGAAACGAGGAAATCCTTTAGTGATTAAAAAAATATTGTTTATTTTATTAAAATTTACTAAAATCGGAAGATATCGGAAAATGGACTTAACCGCATTGGCTTTTGAGCGACTCATATATAGAGCAATTCTAAGAGAGATAACCATATTTTCATTGAAATGCATTTAACTCGTTGACCTACGATTTCTTTCTCAACTATGATCGACACACCTACTTTGTAATTAAAAATTTATTGAAAAAGGACAAAAATCCTAGGTATATTCTACATCTACGTTTGCTCTAAGCTATAATAATTCGTAACAGAAAAGTACTATTCAATTTGTATACACAAAAATTAAGTAATACTTATGATGGTTAAATTCTATTTCAAATCTTCACCACGAGTCTGACACGTTAGAATAATCAAGAATAATTACAATTACAAACTGAAGTTTGATACATTAAAATGAATTAACGAATTGAATTAATCAATTGAAAACTACAAAAAGGGAAACATCGACTATAATTGTAATTGTATCAATTGTTTGTGCAAAGTAATTGGACTGGCCATCTGTCGTGTGTGGTTATCTCCTCCAGAATTATCCTGTACCATTGTTAGCAACCAGGAATTGAATGTGTTTCGAAAATACGTGTTTGAAACTATTGTGTACCGGTTCTGACTGAAACAGTTACGGAAGATGAAACAAAGTCGTAACTGTTATTAGGTATATTGATTCTGTATTGGTTCTGGAACAGTTATTTTTCGGTTCTGCATTTCTTGACGTCTACATGCGTCACGAGAGTCGCTATTCGAAAAAACTGTTTCAGGTTTCTTGCCAGTGTATCTGCACCTTTGGAGATAAACAAAGATCCGCTATAGTCTTGTTTACCATGATCTACCACATTCTTTGAATTTATACGATTAAGTTTTTATTCGCACACTGCAGTGCGGTCTGCAGAAGATGCACGACTGACGTCACGAGACAGGTATAGACCACAATGGCAAAATGGATCAGCTAATCGAGTTTTCAATATTTTACGGTTTCGTATGATTCGTATGATTCTAAGGATTCTGATTGTAACCGGGGAGTCACGGCCAGACCTAATAATCAGTATCGAAATGCAGACCCTCCGATCAACGTTAATCGAATCAAATTCTTACTACCCTTAATTCGATTTTACCAATAATTAAGCTGTACATCGTTAACACTGGAACTACCAGATAGGCCAGAATCTCCATTCCCCAATTCTACTTTCACAACTAATGAAAAGAACAGATGTTTCTCTAAGAAATTACTAAAGAAATTTAATCATATGCAAATTAAATTACAAGTCAATTGAAATGCGAATACATACACTCTTTTAGTCTACAGAAAGAAACTAGAAAAGCCTGTCGGGTAGTTCCAGCGTTGATAAGTGACTCGTATAGAAAACGAAGTAGCAAAAATGTTGATCCTTTCCTAAAATAAACACGACAGCTACATATATTCCAGTTACTAAATATAATACACTGGTCCCTAAGTGGTGTCTAGCCCGGTTCGGGTATCGGGCAATCTCGCGTTTCAGCGAGTAAATCGTCGAAAGTGAAGTTTATCAGCGGAACGGCCGGCCGGTGCGATTCGTCGCCAGTCGGTCAAGATAATTCCGGCGGGACAGGCGTGCGAGCAATAGTAGTCCGCCGTGCGCGAATTACGCGACGAGCGATAACAAGGACCGGTTGCGGGCCGCGGGGGGAGCACGCGGTAGCACAAACGAAACCTTTCCCGGCCGAAGAAGTGTCTTTCGAGGCGGCGGCGGCACCTGCAACCGGTTTACGAACGATCGCGGTTAACTGGCCGCCTGCCTCGATCGCGGTTTAATACCGTTAGAACCGACGCGGCGCGCTTCGAACGCCCGCGCCGCGGGGATACAAAGTCCGGCACAAAAAAGAACGAGATCGCGATCGCAACTCGCATTATCGGACAAATCTCGAAATTAATCTGTTAAATAACTTGCAGTTGTTTTGTATATCATGTAGAAATGTCTCAAAAATAAGCATTCTTGAAGATATTAAGAGATATTGCTAATTTCTAGAAGTAATGTCTTAACCCTTTGCGGATGAAGATTGTTTGAAATATACGAAATCTTCAGTAGATGATGCTAAATTATATATCAGTTACTTAAATGATAGGAAAAACAGAAACTATGCGTTGATTTCTTGGTGTTTGAGTAATTAAATCATTTGTTTGCGACTTAGTCTTCGAAACATGAACATTTCATCTTGCCGAAATGTCGACATTCGTCCGCAAAGGGTTAACTTGGTAGTTTTATACTTTTTTTCATAGAACAGCCGACATATTGGTTCAAAGTATTCATCACAGAACAATGCACGATCAATACTCAATTTTTGTGTCAAACCTTTTGAAGAATAATGAACAACCGATGAACGGTCCAACCACCCTCTCCCTTGAAACTGTACCGAGTCGTTGGCAACATATAGAACTGGTCCGCGAGTCGAGCGATGCTAGAGCTAATTGTAACATACTGATTTTTTTCATAGAACCCGAGATCACCGAAGGAGTCGGTTGATCGAGTTGCTCCCGTGGCCAAAGAAGACTTACGTAAGTATTAGCGATCATCGAACCGCGAATCATTATGATTTTAAAGACCATTAATCCTAATGGGACCACGAAATGACTTTGAGTCTCGTTTGAACTTTTTACCTAAATTTTTTTATTGTCTCACATTGCATTTGCAAAAGTTTTTTTGCGCTTTTAAAATTTGGACCCAATAAACAAAAACAATAACATTTTAATCATTCCTTTCATTCTCATGAGTGACTGAGTGTCACATCATGGTATGATTCGTTATAAAAACACGTGGTACGATTAGGGTTAAACGTGTCACTTGAATGCATTACGGTGGACTCCCCTATAACGCGGCGAAAAAATTGCGAATACTACTTATACAGTGCGAACTGCTGAGTATTACGCGCAAGCATACATACATTTAAAGATAATGAGAGGAAAATATCTTTATCCAACTTCTAATTAAGAGAAAAATATGCACTTCACGGCTTAACATTTCTTCACTATCGGAAATATCAAGAAATAAGTTCAAACGAGCATCGCTTGAATAGTCCATGGTTTAATCGCTCGAAAATTTGAAAACCTGAAAAATTGAAGAATTTAAAAATTAATTTTTTAAACATTGTACAACAGTTACAATTCAGAGATGTTTGAACTTGCAAAAAATTCGTCCGACAACATATCCCCCTATATGGGGGTATCCTATAACTCGGAATTTAACCCCTGCGTTATACGAGAGTCCATTGTACTCCATACTTAACTAAGATAGCATTTACATTTGAAAAGAGTACCTCGGTAATGCGAGCGTTAACGCAACCGGCTAATCAAATTATCCATTAAACGAAGCGCCTGAGCGACACACTGACCCGATGTTGTCTTCGTCCAACAGCACAGCTAGAAAGCGCGAGCTTGAACCACACGGCGGCCCATCACCGGATTTCTGTGCGGCCGAAGAATCGAAGGCCGCCGAGGCGCATGGCCCCGCAGACAGCGAACACGTCCACGTCGACGATAACGACGATCACGGAGGACTCGTTGGACAGCATGGATCAGCAGCCATCGAGCGTGACAAGCAACGCATCATCGCCCTCGGAGCCGAAAACCGTGGCCGTCACCCGGAAATCGTCGAGCCGGCTGTCGCGTAACTCGGACATCTTCGAGGAGCTGGAATCGAAGCTGCCCAGGAAGCCTCCAAGCCTCGCGTCGCTGTCTCCCGACAGCCTGGACGCGATCAGCGCGTCGGGAACCAGCGTGGACACGAACGAGGAGCAGCCAGAGGCTAAACAGGTCACCAGAAAGCCCTCGAATCGCATGCAGAAGGGCACGGAGATGTTCGAGGAGCTGGAGTCGAAACTGCCGCGCAGGAGGTCCTCTAACCGGCTGTCGAAATCCCCGGACAGCCTGGAAGTAGCCTCCAGCTGGTTCTCCAAGTCGACCGAGGGTTTCGACATGCTGATGGAATACGAGGAGTCCAAGCCGGTGGTCAGGAGGCTGCTGAACCCGATCTCGAAGTCGACCGACCGCGTGTCCAAGTCCTCGGACAGCCTGGAGGCGATCGAGACGCTCACCAGCGACGAGTCGATCGAGCGCAGGAGGAGCAGCTTCGAATTCCGCGGGCGTAGATCGTCGAAGAACATATCAAAATCGTCGGAGAACTTCGACATCCTCGAGCAAACGCTGCAGACTGGGCCGGACACGGTCCAAGAGCTGCAGAAGAGGAGCAGCGGATCCGACATCAATCTAGCCAGGGGTAGGAGGCTGTCGAAGAGCATCTCGAAATCGTCGGAGAGTTTCGACATGAACGAGGTTAGCGAGGCCAAAGACGAGGAGGAGAACGCGAGGGATGGTTGCTTCGGGGAGGTCTGCAGGAGATCGTCAAAGAGGATGTCGTCCGAGAGTTCCGATAACCTGGAGATGGAGGACAGGCTGGAGAACAGGAGGATCAGGAGGACACCGAAGAGAATACCGAGCACCAGTTACGTGGACATCGTGCCCGCCGATGAGCAGGAAGAGGAGAAGAGACCGGTGCCGGTCAGGAAGCCGTCCAGGCTTCAGAAGTCGTCCGAGAGCTCGGAGCTGGGTAGCACAGACACTTTGGACTCCGAGAGGAGAAACAAATCTTCCGAGAGCACGGAGACTCTTGATAGCTTGGAGAGGGACTTGGACCAAGATAGGAAGCAAGAGGAATCCGCCGACACAGTTTCGGATAGACGTGAAAAGAACGTGAGTAGCTTTACGGTTCGTGATGTTATAATGTCGTCTGCAGGGTTTCTGATTGAATTATCTGTTAAAGAAGAACACTGTTCGATTAGAACTGTGGAGATACTATTAAGTATCAAAATACAATATGATAAAGTGTATTGTAGGCTAAGTATGTACAATGTTTCAAAAAGCACTAATTAACAAAACTAATATTATTATAATAACAACTACAAACAACACGAGACTCGACTGACAATCAGTTTGACTTTTCAAGTACCACTCTGTACAACAATTGCACGACGGTGCCGTTTATTATACGATATTTACAGGATATTACTGATTTTCCGTATTCGACGCGAACAGGAATCTAAAAAGTATCTTTTTCTTTTTGAATAGGATTCCTGGAGCAACAAGAACATCGTCGACACAGAACAGATCTCCGTAGCAGACGGAACCGAGGACTCCAGGTCGCTGATCTCGCCGGACAAGTTCTACTGGCGTCAATCGTCGGATTCAAAAGAGAACATCGACATCCACCAGCTGTTGGCCATCACGATAGTCACCAGAATGGCGGACAACGGGAACAACCAGCGCGGCTCGATCTACCCGAAGAAGAAACCGATCACCGGTTCGCAGCCCACCTCACCGGTCGCCAAGCAGGAGGACAACAAGATGATCTTCGACAACCTGCTCGTCAGCAAGAACGACGAGGACCTACAGAACATGCTGAACGGGAACATCTCCGAAGTGTCCACCGACACGAAGAGCTTCAAGGAGAAGCTGATCATGTTCGAGAAGCTTGGCAAATGAGCCGACGCATTCCCGGCGAATCGAATTAAGGAGAAGCGCTTAAACAGAGACCAAACACAACTCAATAAGATCAATTTTAAGAGTTCGAACACACCGATCGAGGCGGCTTGATTCCTTCACCGCTGGCTTGTTCTTCTACGAGCTTCCTTCGTGAATCAAGAACAAGCGAGCACTCGCAGGAATAATCGAAAAACGCGCTCGACCGGTCAGCACGGTCGCGACAACGTTAATATCGTTTGCTGAAACACTTTTGTTTCAATGTTTCCATTGTTTCGAGAAACAAACGATCGCAAAGATAACAGTTCATGCCCATCGAACATGTTCGAAGGTGGTTTGAACTCGTTTTAATCAGGCGCGTTTGTAACGTTGCGTAACGCGTTCACGTCTGCTTCCGTTCTGTTCTGTGACAAAAGTCGCGTGTAGCATCGGTGAAATTACCGGATTCGGTAATGTTAGACCGCACTCACCGTGTTCGCGATTGAACTCTTCTCGCGTAGGAGCCTAGCGTTTCGTGGATCTTGTTGTACAGTAGCTTAGAGGCACAGATAAATGTCGTGTACCGTTCCGTTGTGTAAATAATACGAAATGAATAATTAAACAAAAAAAGATATATATTATATATATATATATATATATATAATAAAATTTCCTGTCATTGTCGCGAAGCGAGAGAGAACGATTGTGTCTAAATCGAAACGAATACACAGGGTACGAGACGAGAGAACGCTGTCGGGAGACAATTCATATCTGTAGACGTTGTGGTAATCTTTGGAAATTATGCTGCCTTTCCATTCGGTACTTTCTACGTGTGAACTTTCGACGCGCGAAATCGACGGAGAAATTCCGTCGCGGTTGGTCGGTCGGTTGGTCGATCGGAACTGATCGAAGCCGATCGATCCTGCCGAAGTTCAGAGATTATAGCGTGAACCGTTTCACGTTTCATTCTTACGGTGTACGCGACACGCACGCGAGACACGGTTCTTTGATCGTTGTTTGTTGAACCCTGAACGAAAATCGCGAGCCTCCGCGAAGCTGAAGAATAGGTTTTCGAAGGATTGCACGGTGTTTGACCCTAGAAAGACCTAAGCATCGAGACTGAAGATGATCGTACGCGTCCGCGTGACCGTTCTTTTTCCTAGTTTCAGTTCGTCGAGAATGAATATCTTCGCTAAACCGAAAAAGATCCTCCGAAATCCGATCTTGAAGGCATAAATTGACCCTTATGCCATGAAAGTAACGAATTTTCGAAAATTTTTTAATAATCGTGTCCTCCCAGTCTTTCTAGGGTTAAGAGTTTCTTAACCCCGGACACTCGGTATCCATCGACGGTTCCTGGATGTACAGGGTGTCGGAGTTTCTCCCCGCCAAACTGTGCCAGCACGTTTCGCCAGCGAAGATGCAAGGGAAAAACGTAATTTAACGAGTCTTGATGATTTTGTTGCTGCGTTAAACGTGAATAATATGTAGTCCCTACCAATACAGATATATTGATACGATGAAATGTAAGAATCGTTTGTTAAATAAATGAGAGAATGAAAACCATTTAATGTTAATGCTTCAACTGTTGCGTTAGCCATGTACGGATCGCACGATTCTTTGCTTGTGGGTGGACATTCATATCTACGTCGGTGTGTCAAATCAATCTCGATGGGGTCTATAGGGTATACAAGAAAAGCAAAAAAGGCAAATTGAAATCGCTATAATAAATCGTGTCCTTCCAATTTCTATTTAATTAAACGAGTTTCAATTTTAGAAATCTTATTATCAGTCGACTTGTAACTGCGAAGGGTGGAAAAAATATTCAAACGCATCCCTCGAATGATTCTCCGGATACCGAGTGTCTCGCGTGAAAGCAGCTCAAGTCCTAAAAATTGTACAAGTGTCGAAGGCCTCAACTCCGCTTCAAAATCTGAACTTTCGATTCATTTTTTGATAAAGTATTCGATTCTCATCGTGAATGTTTCACGTTGAGCTCTTCGTTGTGCGAATGTGGAAGGGAAAGAAAGAAAATAAGGAGGGCTGGATCGTCGTAGGGTGAAAAAGACATTGGAGCGTGTCGTCTCTGTCACGTTGAATACCCCGTGACAGGCACGAGATACTTCTTCTCAGTCTTTTAAGTGCCTTAGCGAAGTACCGAGGAACCGAATTGGCGTAAAACGCGTTTGAATAGGCCGCACGGAAAAAATGTTCATCACCCCCTTATCCCTCTAACACCTTTCTTTATATGTCCTCTCTTTTCTGTATATGTCTATATAGAGTCGATTGCAAATGTGTCGAAACCCAAAAAATACCATTGTAGATTGTTAGATTAACGAGACGTAAATAGAGAAAGAAACGAATTAACTATATCGCTATAATGATGTTACAATTGTCCGCATAATTGCGGATGAAAATTACACATAATACAAGGAAGAACAGACCGCTACGTTATTAATGTAAATAAAGCTGCCATCGTGAATTACAGTTCGACAACAGAACTTTATTTCTCTTTAGTGAACCCGCAATTCCGGCGCGGCGGACGCGCCCGACGCGCCTTTAAAAAATTACAAAATACCTTGGTTCATTGATGATGATTCGATAC